ATGTGCAGCGGCCAACGCCATGGCAGCGCCATGACGAACGCCATGAAGGGTGACCTCTCTAACACGATTTGGGATGTCATGCAAGCGAACCACCAGAACGGGCACCCCTAGCATTGACAAATCTCACCGCATGATCCGCGGCTGATCGAAGACTCTCCAACTGAGCAGTTAGATCTAAAATATTCAAGGAAAGAGTGATCAGAAATCTTGAGGGTAAAATTGAGGAAAAACAGAGAAATAATGGCAGACATCTCACCCATGATTCTAGCTTCAGTCCTGGCCAACCTTTCCCTCACCAGGCTGACCTCGGGGGGTGATCGGTCTTCAATCATGGCCAAAGCCGATTCCACTAGGGAGAGGCAGTTGGCTAGATGCTGGTCGGTCCGGTTGATAGAGGCCAGCAGATCGTTGTTGCCGATCTGTCGCCTCGAGTGACGAGGAAACTGGCGGTGAATTGGTGCCAAAGATGTCCCCAAGGGCTTGGCGGAGTCAGCCCGTTGATCCAAAGCGATGGGAGCACCCCAAGATGCGTCCTCTTGACGACGAAGGCGTTGGCGTGATGATGTATATCCATTGAGGGCTTCTCCAGCAGACCTCTTGTTGTTCTCCATGACCTCGAACCTACGGAAAGGCAGGAAATATACCTAAGGCAAAGAAGGATTGAGACGAAGAGGGTTGTTTTTTGATCCACAGCCATAGCCCGTATATATAGCCCGGGAAAGCGAGAAGATAGATTTCGATGGAGGTGTGAAATTGAAATCAGAAACGGAAATGGATCAACACTCTGGAAATTCATGGGACGGATAACAAAAAGACAACGGGCTCGAATTTATTGCTTCCCCAGAGTACAAAATATCGTAGGATGGATACATTGACCAGAGATTAACCCACCAAAAACTTCTTTGGATTGAAGGGAGTTCGGATCTCCGCAAGGCCGAAACTCATTGCAAACCGAATTACATCGGCCCATCGATAAAATCGTACCAGAGAAGAAGAAAGGTCGCCCGCCTAACATATGCTCGGTAGATTTCTCAATAAATTGAGGAACTATGGGAAAGAAGCCTAAGGCTTTCCCCATAGGTGTTTGGAGGAGCAACAAGGGGAAGGTGTTCACACATTCTAGCCCTCGCAAACAATAGAACAACTTTGTGAGCATGGAGAAAAGACTCAGGTAATATCACAAGAATTCTTCTAACCACAATGGCTGGTCTTCTTACTCAACGAGGCGCTAGAATAAGTGACACAATCACCCTATGCACAAGAATTTTTCTAGCCGCTTGAGATCTTCATAAAATAGACCATGAGGGTCTAGCAGAGCCGGGAGCACTCGAGGAGGCAGATAGAAGAGAAACATGGCTGAATTGTTGAGTTTCTCTCGCCAGAGTCGGATAAGCATTTTATAGCCGGCCTGGAAGGATGAATTCAAGTGCCCGTGAAGCAGTGATGCTCTTGTAAAAAGTTTTGAGGCATAGGCTCATAAGTGGACGCAAGCGGCGACAAATAGTGGACCCAGATCGAGGTTCTCTACCCATGACTATGGGCCAATCAGGGAAACAAATATGATAATTTTGGAATAAAATTACTTTTATCCCAAAATTGTGGGGCATGTGTTTACACCAAAATTTGGAAAAAGAGTTGTAGGGACTCGAGGGCTCCCAAGATCATGTCATCAAGGAATTAATTGTGCAGATCGGAACCAGCTGATTCGGATGCAAAAACTAGAATCGACTTTCTTCAGATAGCGCCTGCAGACAACGACGAAGGCTACGTTCAGCACCAGGACAAAACATGTTGGACTCTATAAAAAGGAAAAGATTATTGTCCAAGTTATCTCAAATTAGGAATATTTGCTAGGGTCAAAAATTATAATGGGTCATACTTAGACAGGAGTCATGCACAGGACCCGGGTATAAATACCAAACCCCAACTATTATAAGAAGACAACAATCAATCCAATATATAAGTTATTTACTTTTTCGGCTCCAGCCACCCCTTAGAAGTAGGAGTAGAGTAGATCTCGACGAGTTCTTGACAGAAATCTGTTGCATCGATCCGGGTCGACCTCCACCGCTTGTTGTAAGTACCATCATGGCTTATACCTCTGTTAAATGCGTTTGCATTGATCCGGTTGACCTCCCTTTGCGACTACGGTATAAGTTAGTTATCGATTCTTGTCTAGTTCAAGTATGGCTGCATCGATCCGGTCGACCCCCACTGCATGAACTAGATCAATGTCAAGTTATCGGCTCTACCTTAGGATGGCAGTCTTTGATAGATTCATTAAGTTACCGATATTGCTTATTGCTTTCTTTATTTATCTAATTACAGCAATATCACTCTGCCCGATTGGGATTGATCTAGATCGGCCTTATATCTTGTTTAGCCCATCGTTTGCTAATCTAAATTGATCTAATCTACACCTTAAACGATGAGTTATGTTTTATCGGCTGTTTTATGTCAATCCTGATCGTGCATAGCGTGCGGTTAAGGCGTGTTGCGTCTTGAGTAGATTTATTGGCTAGCGAAAACCGTTCCATGACCCGTTATCACGGCCTATGTGATTCTGCCTCATACCCCACTATTAGCACCGTGGAGTGAGGATCGTTATTTGATAGATCTATTCCTAATAAGTCATGACTTTAACTGCGCGCTATGCCTGAATCGGCTGTTTAGCCGATATCGAGAGCTTTCATGAACAGTTCGCATCACGAGACCGTTGACGTAAATATAGGTTGAAAGATATGTTGCCCCATGATCTTATTATTGTATTATGGCCTACATGATTCTGCCTCATGCCCCACTGATATTAGTGATGAGTTAGGGTCGTCGAGTATATTGTTATTTCTATGGTCTGCATGATTCTGCCTCATGCCCTACTGGTCATAGCGATAGATGAGATCTAACATGTTCATTAGATTTACCTTTATTAAACGGTTAAGTGGTGTTGAATTGTTTCTTTATATAAAAAGGGGTTCGGTTACTTGTAATCATTGGCTTGGCACAAATCAATCATTGTTGACATCTTATTGCCATTGATTAACATTTGTTCAAATAACGACATTTATCCTGAATGATAACCGATTCCTCTTATACAACCTAATGAGCTTTAACCGATTTATTCTCATGAATATGCTGGAATCGACTATTTAGTCGATCTCCTTACATATCGGCTTTCAAAGCCGCATATTCGGGACTGTCTGGCAACACCGGCAAGTTCCACCCTTAATTACCGATGAACTTTCTCTCCTTATCAATTACAGGGTCAAATTGACTGGCACGTCTCGGGAGGAGTGCGCGGGATCGACCACCCTTGCGCTGAAGCTAGGCGGATCTACAGCTCCATCGAGCAGACCCTTCCGACTTGCTGCGTGTGTCCTCGGCACGGGACGAAAATTCTATGTCGACAGGTTGAAAAACTTTTAGAGAAGAATGTAAATTGAATGACTAACTATATGAAGAATGACTAACTATTTTCGAGGTGTTGAAATTAGAGGTGACCAAGCAAACAAGATTTTGGCATGACAGTTGGTTGGGGGACTGCCCTTTAAAGGTTAGTTTTCATATATTGTTTCAGATTTCCACTCATCAAGATATAGAGGTAGCAGAAGCACATAATTACATAAATGAGCTTTTTTCTTATGTCACCTAGATTTCCACTAGTTGTCTGCACCATTACATGAGCCCCAAGGCTGAGTGCTTGATTTGTACATGATGAAGATCAAGGTCTAATAAGTGCCACGTTTATTTCCTATATCCAAGTATATTTTGCTTATCGGAGGAAGTATTTTAGGTTCTTGTGATTATTATATTGGTGCATGGTATTATGGCTAATGGTTCAGCTAAATAAAGCCAACTGTCCGATTTGATCTAGTTTCTTTTTAAGCGTAGCAAGAGCTCTACCAATTAATTAAGGTAGAAAAGAATCGAGTGTCAAGTACGAAAAATAAGCGAATCAAGTGGTTTTTGTTTTTGGAATGACAACACCCGACAGGCGTGTTAGGAAAAAAACAAGATTATGGTCTTGGAGACAAGAACCATGCAACAAAAAAAAAAAAATACAGTTAAATGGTACCCTGCATGCCACAACAACTCAACCACTCAACCGTCAAAGAAAACCAAACACCGAACAGGCCACCACTAAACATAACTGACCGCCGCTAGGCCACGAAGAAGCACAAATGCTCCTCCCAAATCCACAAAGCCCAAACACACAACACTAAGAAACATAGACTCCTGGTTATCGGCAAAAATAAGGTGTGCAAAGGAAGAAGAGAGAGAAGAGGAATCCACTCGTTCCCCGCACGGACCCACCCCTGCGAGACGACCAAGAACAATGTTATTGCCGTGGGGGAGTGTCAAGCAAGGTGCTGAGGTAAGAACGTACCTGATATAGTGATGTCTCCATGGAGGAAAAACAACGCCAAAAGACATCTCCGCCCAAGAGACTCTAGACAAGGTTTTCACCCAAGGATCCGTCAAGGGATGGTGGCGCTTCAACAACGCCCTCAAGAGGGAGCGCGTCCGTCGGAAACATCGTTGTTGTGAGTCAACTCAGAGCTGGGCATGACTTTCGCCAAGAATGCAACCACCCCTTGCCATTGTAGCTCCAACACATTATCAGGCCACCACCACAAGCAAAGACAACACACGGCCACCAACACGCTGCAGTCGCAACAAGAAAGGCAGCAATCACAACCAGACCACATACGACAATGCCAACATCAACGTCGCACCACCTCGCATGACGATGCCACCATCGATGACACCGCACCACCGTGCAACCTCCACGTCCACTACAACCATGAGTCCACCACTAACACGCCCGCACTGTTGGGCTTACTCCATGCCGCTGGTCTGCCACGCCCTGCAAACCTCGACGCCGCATGCCCAGAACAACTGGATTGCCGACAACTTGCTGCTCAACATGTCGCGCACGACGCCACCATTGTATTCCACGTGCCACTATGAGTGGCTGCCACCAAACGACTACTGGCAGTCACCTCCATTTGTAGGGGTGATAGATCCTGGCAGCACCAAGGCTAGACCGCCGCCCGCCGCCCTCTTGTAGACTTCACCACCAGGGGAGATGGAGTGAGGGAAGATCCCTACCACCACCATCCTCGCCCTCCGCCAGATCTCCGACAACGAGCTCCGATGATAGCAGGGATAACGACGCTAGAGGAGGTCCTTCGATGGGGGGAGTCGGGAGCCGCCCAACTCGCTACGCCCCTAAGGAGAGCGATGCGTGGGGCGTAGTATAGATCCAAGTGTAAGTGAATCAAGTGTTAAGCATGAAAATAAGCACGCTAGCTGCTTGAAGGTAACGGATGCTAGTGGCGCTTTGCATCCAAACATCTTTCCATGCCTACTTTGCACTTGTATAGGTGTATGAATCATAATATTATTTTTTTAAAAGAATACATAACGTCCACGTTGAAGAATAATTAACCGTGATGCTGCTGAGGCTCCACGGGTGGATAATTGGGGCTAGCATTTGCACTCTGTGCCTACAGAAATTGAAATAAACTAAAGCTGCAATTTTAATATAAAACATATGCAATAACTGTCGTCTAAAAGGAAAAACTAAAATTCAAGCATCTGGATTTTAGCAAGTCCCATTCATTAGAGAAAATGTTTGCAAAGCCGGTGAATGTTCTTTTTGCGCTGCTAGAAAATTGGGTTTTTTAATTATCTAACTAGAACTATACAAGTATCCAAAGCACAACTTTGACCAATCGATTTCTGGAAAACATATTGGACCACATGAAACAATATAATGTTATGGACATATTTAGATTTGCGAGGAAAGTTTATACATACTGATTTCATTTGAGAAGTGACTTAAGCATGCACATGTACAAGAGTTGGTTCTTGGCATTAGTTTGGCTGCATTTACCTAAACTGATGTTCTTTTATTTAGTATTTCAAATAGCTTTGCATGCAAAAGTTCAGTAAGTGAACCAAAGGGTACACTGAATTAACTGTAGTAAGACAAAGCTGAAAAAAATGTCTAGTAAATTGCCATTTTTTAGCAGTAACTGTCACAACGATACTCTAATTCCAGTTCGAGAATGTACCATACTGCATGTAATAATAACTTTCAAAGTGTACGTTGCAGTGCTGTAAAAATAGGCTGGCAAATTTGGAAGAAATTGGCACCTGCTGCTGGCTAGGCATGTTGTCCTTTTTCTGCCTTGCTGCTGTCACGTTCAGGTGCTCCTGCCTCTTGGCTGCTGCTGGTGCTGGGTCGCCTCCTGCCCGAGAATGGAAGAAATTAGTTGAAGCAAAAATAAATGCATGCATTGCATGTAGCAACCTAATAATAATCACTAGACCACAGAATATCTTCTTATTTATCACAAAATTAATTATCTGTTGTGTCAGGTGGTCAGGAAAGATCGAACAACAATCTGCGACGTCGGCGGCGGCGGTGGCCGAGGAGGAGGAGGAGGCACCGGGGTCGCTGCCGCCGCCGCCCTTCCTCTTCCGATTTCTCGCGGTGCTCTTTGCGACCTTGAAATGGATGTGCCCTTCTTCTTCGTCCTCGCCTTCTTCGTCAACATCGTTGGTAGAGCTAGAGCCGGGCAAAGCTGAAGCTGCCCCGACGGCGGCAGCGGCGGCCCTTTTCGCCTGGGACTCCAGGACGCACTTGCGCCACGCGATGACCTTGGGGAGGTGGATCCTAGTTCTTTGCCGTCGTCAAACGGCTTCTTGATGATGTAGGTCGCCTCCTGCAGCGTGCGGAGCAGCTGGTCTGCCTCATCGCCGGCGGCCTTGTGATCCGGCGCGAGGTTTGCTTGCAACCACCAAGCCAAACCATCAGATCAAATGATATAAACCGCATGCATGATCCAATGCATTGCAATGGAGTAGGTATGTACTCACAGTAGACGACGGGGATGCGGAGATCGGACTCAACGATGCCGCGGAAGTCGAAGCCACACTTGGCGGCCTTGGCGGCGTGGACGAGGACGACGTCGATGTCTCTGAATCTGCCATCTGAGAGGCCCTTGAGGGCATAGGGGAGGCTGGGGCATGTGACCACTGCAATGCAAGGGCAAGGAGAGGCAAGTGATCAGTGAGTGACATGGTAAAAGATGCATACACTTTGCCCTTGTGAAATTAAAAGTCAGTGGTAACTTGTAAGCAATTTCGCATACACTCTCTGTACAAACAAAATATCATCAAAACATTAATAATTGAGATGTTGTTTTGAAGTTCTTGTTCAAACAAATAATGTAGTGGTGCAAACGGATTCTGATTCTGTACGCTCGATATTAAAACCACAGTTTGGTTTTGTTCTTTGATTTCCTCCTCCCACGAGAATGGAATGGAACGAATCATTTTGAAGAGCATGATGGGTGCCGACTGCCGCAGGTGTGCATGCCCTGCAGGCTTTGTTGCATGGCGACAAAAAAAACATGGTAATGTGTGCATGCAGAGAGCTAGGCCAGAATGCACCGGAAATAAGGAATTTCAAATCTCCGTTTAACACAGTTTATCTTACAGGTCTTATGGACCTCGTATTAGTCAATGGCTACAAGATTATGTGTAATAGCTATGATTTTTTTTGTAACTTTTTTTTCGTTTCGTAATGCTTGTTGTAAACACTCTCTTACATCAATAAAAGTACAGTAGGGGCTTGCACCCTTCCGTTTTCCTCAAAATAAAAAAACAGTTTATCTAACAGCTTCCCAAGTTGTTTGAAGGTATTGATATTCTTGTGAAGCTCTTTAAAACATGCTCTCACAAGGGATTGGTGTGAGATGAAGCTGAAAATAGCTGTTTCTTCCGGCTTCAACTCAATCTGATGAACCCCATGTATGGGCATGAGATCATATTTTAAGAAACTTCACATGTAAAGCTAATTTGCCAACACTCCACCAAAGTAGCTTCAGCTCCACAGGCAGAGCTGCTCTTGGAGTTTAAACACATGCACAAAAAAAGTTGCTTCACTAGTGAAGCGGAGCTGTGCCAAACAGAGCTTAATCAGATCTAGGTACATCTACACAAGTAGTAGTGTGTGTGAATCTAGTAAAAGAACCTCACAAACTCAAACAATGACATGGAGTGTCGTGCACTACTACAGAAATCATTTTCGCAGCAAGGTTTTCACCGCTGATTTGGCTAGAACTAGTGGTGAAAATGCTTCACCGTTGATTTGAAAATATACAACACATAGTGAGCTGTAAAACCGGCGGAAAATTGTTTCACCGCTGGATCGCTAGATGATCTAGCAGTGAAAACCGAGATTGCCGGAATGTATGTACCTTCGAACTTGAAGATGGGTAGTACCATCTTGACCGATTTGAGGAACTTGTTGTCATCATCAACGATCAACGCTCGAATGCCGTTCAGGAACATGGCACACATATCACGATCCATTTGACACAATTCAAGGATATTTGATTGGTCAGTAATGACCGATGAGAAGAGGAAAGGCTATATTTATAGGCTAGGGAGAACGTCATCCCTCACTCTCTCATTTAGCAGGGGCGAGATTGCAAGTCTATGCTGCAGACTCTCTCATATAAATGAGTAAACAATGATTCTAGACATCCCTCACTCTATCTCGAATGTCTAATGCACTTCTAGATATCTAGACATAATATTCCATATATGAAGGTTGGCAACATTATTTCTAGGGAATCTCCTTTCTTCGTTCTCGTTGACTAGTGATGTCTGCCACCTACCTTTTGTAATTTCACTGGTGTTCATGGAGCCACGCCCCTAGTGTCGCAAGCATAGCCATAACATTAATGACTAGTGTGACCAAGAGAGCGGCAAATGGTGTGGTGAGACTGCATCAAAGATACAGTTGTATGTGATTGGCGACTAAGAGCGCGGTGAGCTACTTGATCAGCATTTTGGCAGCCATGCTAGTTAGGTTTTGGGATTCACTGTGACTATGGCTTCAAGTGATTGCAAGTGATAGCATTGGGATCTCAATCTTCCATGAGTCCTTGTTTCAATTCAACTCTAGTCTGTATCTAGAAGTACAAAACTTATAGTTTTTGAATAAAGAAACTCTGCAGAGGGGTACACATTAATCCCACCAAAGACAAGGGATATCGCCCATACGACCCGTTGGTACATAAGGGATACCTCGATGCCTCAACCTTTCCCCAATCCGGCCATGAGTGCCCACGAACGGTTTGAGAGGTACCCGGGTAATGACATCTCATCTACCCGGCGTCACCTTTGCGCCGATCCACAGGTAGACCAGTCGCAGTTAGATACTTGGCTTGTCACCCCCATTCATGACAAGTGGTTTGTACAAGTATGTTCATGACTTACTACCACAGATACATGGTCCTTAACCGGTTAGCGAGCTATACCATCCAAGATCTTTACCCATCTTGCATTGCCATGGTCCAACCTCTCGCCGACCATTCATCATCATTATCATCCTCTTGGTCAAGTTTTAGACCATAGCCCTTTTATGTTGCTTTAGTGGACAAGCATGCCCTACAACGCGTGAACGATGAGAAACCCATCATCATCTTGACTTCTACTGTCTAAGCAAACTAAGCATGAGTTATTCAAACATTGAAAGTAAACAATCAACATTTGAGTGGTGCGCTATCATTCAAGGTATGGAAGCTCAACATAGGAATCATGGGTAGTCTAGTCATATAGTAACATAGCAATGCAATAAAAAGCCATAGCCTATTGATACATTTAGCAAAGAGAGGGATGCATAGGGGCCTACCTTGTGATTGCATTGACGACTTCTACCTCTTGGGTCTCCTCCAAATGAACTCCTTTGGAGCCCTCGTCACCTAATGAATGTATGATGCTTGATGAGTACAATGCATAAGAATAAATGACATGATATGATATGCATTGATGTTCTTTAGTTAGGGTTTAAGTATGTATAACATGTGTGTAGCATAGTACTAGTGCTCTGTCGACTGAACTGACGGATGCTCCGTCAATGCATCGGATGATCCATGGTGACGATCTGACAACGCATCTATGAAATTTTCTAAGTGTTGGTCCTCGCGGATGATTCATACTTACCACGGACGATCTGTGAGTTTGGGTTGGTAGAACCTGAAGCTAAATAGTTTGTGTTGTGAATATTTAATTATTTATAGATGCTTTGGCAATTTCAC